CTATCAAGTGACTTAAAATAAGTTGTCTTTAGAAAAGGAATACCATCTAGTGGCCCAAGAAGGCAATAAGGAGATGCAATGGCAATTAGAGAAGCAGATGAGCTTGGAAAAAGAGAGAGAAACTGCAAAAGATAAGGGATTAATGTATATAGTGCAGTGAACATCTCTGGAGCAAGGGAGGGTGCAAAAGGGACTTGATCATAGTGAATGTGAAGCTAAAATTAGATGCTTGCAAAAGCAGATTGGGATGTAAAGATTAAAAATAACTGCTGGATCTGCAGGAAGTGATGGAGAGCACTGGATTGGGAACCATCTGAGGAAGATGATTTCAGGGATGATGCAAGCCAATGGGAAAAGAAAGAAGTTAAGAATAGCAGCATATCCCACAACAAAAAATGACTGCCATCTTGGGACAGGCAGGTACAGCAGAACAAACTGCCACAGCAGATAGGCAAAAAAGGAACGTGTCAACATTCACCATTATGCTAGAGAATATGGGGAGCTTTTAAAGAACTGACAAGAAGTTGCTCATATATCAGCAGGACCATGTGTTTACTACCTAATCTCAGCAGAGCACTGGTATCTCCAACTCTCCTGGCAGCCACAGTGCAGTCAGGCTCCTGGGATGGAGGATAAATTAAGAGAACTAGTGGCACAAATGCACTCCATGAGTAACATGTGACAAAATGAAAGAGAAGGACCAATCTATTGAGCTGCTTTCACATTAAGAGACAAAAAGTATTTACTTGCATCCCACAGGGCCAAGCACCTGCCTTGCTGCACACGCTTTTGTTCAGAAAGTGTTTGAATAATGCTCTCTGGAGGACACAGAAAGATATTGTGTAGATGATATTCTGGGGATCACAGAAGAAGAGTTACAAGAAAGAGGTATCTGAGTTTTAAAATTAATAGATCAAGAGGGATTTAAAGTCAATTTGAATACAGCACATTTAATGCAATCCCAGGTTAACTGCTGGGGAATTGGAACTGGCAAAACAAGATAGATCTGAGGAAGCTTAAACTTTCTGTGAAATAAAGACTCCCATTGCTCAGACTGAGCTCTGGAGACTGCTGGGAGGATTGGATCTCTTGTGGCACCGCATCTGTAACTTAGCTAGTACTATCAAAGCATTATGACTATTACAGAAGAAACAGGAATGGAGGCAAAGTAAGGAGTGAAATGACAATTTACTTACAGCAAAAGAAGCTGCTGCTTGAAAAGCTCCTACAACAGAACATACCTTTGAAGGAAAGCGATTGATAGTAATAATTTCAGCGTGAGATCATTCTGAGGGATCAGTACTGTTACAGAAAAATAGTGAAGAAAAATGGATATCAATAGGGTATGTGTTCCCCTTCTTTAGGATCCAGACCAAAATTTCCCTGACCATGAGAAAGCCAGGTCTGGTCTGTGATGGTCCTTATCGCTTTCATCGTTGATACTTTGGTTGCACCCTGATCTACTCATACTCTGCTCTTAAGCACAAAGAGAAGAAATCAGTTAAAGTGCAGATGTTCTTTGAAAGGAAACCAGAAATAAAACAAAGTTATTGTGTGCCCATAGGAGTGCTAAGCTTGTACAGAGAGGAAAAATAGTTGAGGGTGGCGTTGTTAGTGGAATGAGGGAACTAGAGAAAGGATGTTGGCAAGGAGCAAAAGCGCAGGCTGTCATAGAAAGCAGTAAAAGACATAAATCCAGTATCTCTTTACAGATAGCTACCTTGTTGATACTAGAGTAAAATACTGGTTGTCTTATAGAGAGAAGGGTGATGGTAAGCAGATAATGGGACACCCAGAAAGAAAACTGGATGTTTATTTTACATGCCTAGAGGGAGAGTGGGAATAAAATATATGCGAAGGAAGCTAAAGCATGTAGGAAGGCTGAACGCAATGCTTAGAAACAATTTAATGAGCAAGTATATAAATTGACTCTGAGTTTATTTACAGCAGCCCCAGCCAGGAATCAACTAGAAGAAAAGAAGGGATGGATACTGTGCCTGGCTGAATGAGACCAAATCATCTCAGACTGTTATAACATTAGCAAAAAAAAAAAAAAAAAAGAGAGAGAGAGAGAGAACAAGGTACTATAAAAAGAGTGCAAGGAATTTATATTTGGCCCCAAATGAAGCCAATAAAAATGGCATGAAGTGCGCAGTTTGCTCAAAGGACAGTGAGGCTCTGGCACTGCCAGCTGCCCAGAGAGGCTGTGGATGCCCCATCCCTGGAGGGGCTCAAAGCCAGGCTGGATGGGACCCTGAACAGTCTGATCTAGTATTTGGCAACCCTGCCCATGACACAGGAACTGGGTGGGCTTTAAGGTCCCTTCCAACCTAAGCCATTCTGTGATAATATGACGCAAAAGTGAAGTAGGGGGCCAAATATATCTGAAATTGGATAGAAAGCAACAAGCATCCAGAGCCCAGCCTGTTCAGTGAGACTGCCCCACTTCAGGAGTAAGGGACCACCACTCACTCATGTTGGCGTGAGCAGCTGCAGCGGATCTGTTTATGTGCTTGCATATGAGCAGTGCTGGTTTATGCCTCGAGCTTTGCTTATTTTCTATTTTGTAGGGCAACAGATTTTACTACAGCCCCACAAGCAAGCAGCAGCTGAGAGTCCTGGTGCAGTGATGCAAACTCTGAGGCAAAGCAGAGGAGTTGAGGTCTCCAGCAGTTTGCAAGAATTTTTAACTTGGCTCCTCACTCCATATCAATAGCTTTGTGTTTTTTGTAAATTGCATTAATTATAAACATTTAACAAGGCAGAAAATGACTGTAAAGTGTCTTGGAGAATCCAAGGTGACCTTTATGGGCTTTGAGGCCAAACCAGTGTCCTTTTCATAGTGATAGATCTAACCTGCGACTTAGCCTGCTTTAGCCTCGATTACCTTGCTGCAGCTTCCTAATGCGGTAGTAATAACTTAAGATCCCAAATAAAAAATTGTTACAGCTCTTAAGGGAACCTTGAGAGTTGTAGCTCAAAGATCTGGATCCACCCAGATTGGAAAATCATAGCTGAAGCTTTGGAAAAATGTTCTAAAATTACAACAGCTGAATGAAGTAGGTAGTTTTGTTCATTTACAGAACAATTCTCCAAGGAGGACCAACTGGAGGAGAAGCAGCCAGACCTAGTGCTGAACTGCTGATTTCTGTAATGCTCTTTTGAGCAAATGCCTGAGTAAGGAGGAATTTAGGAGGAGGTCAAATAAGAGAGGAAGCAGAAAGGATTCTTGAAGTGAATGGGAGACTGTGTGCTGTCAACAGCTAGCCAGCTACGATTTGAGACAATTGAGGGTTAAATATACCTAAGCAGAGATCTGAAATGGGAAATATGTATGGAATTCTAAGCTATTATGGCTGAGCGACAGTAGAGGTAACACTGAAGGGGTGATGGCATCTGTAAGTATTGTAGGACACCTGCTCAATAGCAGAAATTAACTGCTAGGCCATACGTTTCTTTCAGTAATAAACGATAAAAATCCATATACAGAGAATAAGGATGGTAGAAGTCTATACAGAAACATTACTACTGATGATGCAAAGAACTACTCATACTTCCCCAACCTGCTACCCCCCTAACTGTTGTGCTGCCTCTGTGCATCCCAAGCCCAGCTCTGATACTGCCCAGCTGCATAACCTTGGGCCACACTTCTAAGCAAACTGCTCAGTTGTGAGACAGCTGGCAAGAAGATAAGAAGGGCAGAAACAGGGGGAGGAAAATTGAGAGCTTTGAGCCAGAGCAAGTGATTTGTATCAACAGCGAAAGCTAGATGAAACCAGACTTGAGCATCTTAATTGTAGGCTACTTTCCTCAGAAGTGAACAGCAATAGCATTAGTCATGCATCTGAGCTACATCAGGTGACAGTGATATTAGGCTATGTAAAAACAAGGTGATGCTGTATTTGTGCAATGCTGGAGGATTGAAAGCGTGTGAAATTCTGCCATGGGATTTAAGTGCCAGAATCGATAAACTCAAGCACCAAGGCTGCCCAAGGCCACCAGCACAAATGAGCATCAACAGCTGTGGCTGCTATCTGCTGTGAGCAGCAGTAGTTGAGTTACTGAGCACCAACAGCACAGCTGGTTGTGATCTGTGTCTCTCCGTTGATGAACTCCCATCAGGGAAACTGCAACACAGGTGTGGCTAGGAAGGTGAGAAGTGGGAGGCATTAGGAGTCAATTGAAGCTGCAGATGACAAAAGGGGCTGCCGAAGTCTCAGGTGTGGGAGCTTTTAAAAGAGGGTTTGGAGGCTCTGCTTCTGGGTTTGGGATTGTTTTGTGGTGCTTGAAATGAGGAAGGTGCAGGTAGGTTGGGGCTCCTCTATGTCTAGGCAGATACTTCTGGCTTAGATCAGTGTAGAGCTTCAAGGGTGCTCTAATGCTTCTTTTGTCATGGTGGGGCTGTGAGCACAGGGACTTGTCAGCAAGAAGCTGAGGGGAGGCTGAGAGCTGAGATCTTAAATGTCATGATCTTGGTTCCAGCAGAAGTGCTCTGAGCAGCTCTGAATTTCCTAAGTGCAAGGGGCTGTAACAGGCTTGAGGTGGTGGAGACTGGGTGCCCTCTGTGGAATTGCTGTAGGGACTTGTTTTGAAGTTAAAAAGGCAGATTAACTTATTCTCTCAAACTGCAAAAAATAGCTTTTTATTTTCTTCTTGTTTTTTTCCTTTTAATGAAACTGGCTTTTGGTAAAGCAGCTTTTCTCCCTTCCTTGCATCCAGGGACCTAGTGCACAACTCTTAACTTCAACTTTGTAGCCTGACCCATGTCTTTGGACAGTGTTAAAGCTCTCCCAGCAATCAAAGACAAAGTCACCCAGGATGCCAGCAGGCCTTGGGTTTGTCCCTCTCCCTTCCTCTGAACTGGCCCTACATTCCAATGTGGCAAACTGTTGGGGTAGCATGGGGATGGGCAGCAGTGCAAATGTTTGGAGGCAACAGTTAAAAGTTATGGGCTAGGAACAGGGGAGGGCAGAGGGGAATGGAGGAGCCCAGTTCTCTTATTAACTGATCACATTGAGCGCGTTAATCAGTGAATGAAGCTCGTCCCTTACGCTCTCCAGGGAGTGGCAGATGGTCTGGGGGCTGTCCAGGAGTTCAATGCTGTGGGTGTAGGGCTCGTATTTCACTGAGAAGGGCCGCTTGATATGTGCTGCATAGTTCCTGTAAGGGAAGGATACAAGGTCTTAGTACAAGAAACAGGTCCTCAGCCCAGCTCCTGGCCTCCTCCTCCCCATAGCCGTTCACCTAGATCTCAACTGGCAAATGCCTCTCTTAGAACATTCAACTTAACACAGAAGATTTGGTTTCTCACCTTCCCACCTTTACAGGGCTGTAGAGATGCCTGAGATCACTCCATTCAGTAAGGAGGACACTGAGTTTAACAGCAAGTTTCTTGGGGCTGAAAACATGGACTTGCACCAAACTGAAGAGTAGCACTGAACTTGCCACCCTATGGCTATCTCCAGACGCTTTCTACTCAAATTGCTTTTCTTTTTCTTTCAAAAATACCAGAGAGATTTAGACACTAATTGCAGGGAAAACCTCTGGCATTGTAGTATTACGTTCCTAAATCCTTTCTGTCATTCACTTGTTTACTAATCTCTGCTTGGGGAGGAGATGACTAGCTGCAGGCCATGTTAAGATAGGACTGAGAGGCAGCAGGTCAGACCTGTGCACAGAGATGGGAATAGCATCACCAGGCTGAGCTGAGTAATGCTACACTATTTCACACCCAGGGCCAACTGAAGCCTGAATCTGAGTGACAACCCTGACTTCTCATGGCGCATCTCAAGAACAAGAGGTTGTCACCAGGTTTACCTGGCAAGTGTTCAAGGAGGTCATGGTGAACACAGCAAGAGGAAGGTTTCTCGTATTCAGCTCCAAGGCTTACGTCTGTACATTTGACAAGGCAGGTTTGTGGATTTTTCTTTCTTGACACTTAATATTGAGTTGGGAATCTACGTTTGTGTACTTACGGCTAAAATCTCAGACTGAAAAGACCTGTGATGATGAAGGGAGAAACAAGTACTGGGGCAAGCGTGCTCGTTACTAAGGCTTCACCCTTCTGCTCCTGAATTGCTTAGCTTAGGGTACCCTCTTGTGGCTATCGTAGGTCTGCACGGAATGGGAAGTGCATCGCTCCCTTCAACATGTCCTGGGCTGATTCTGTGCGCTGTAGCAAGTCTGATTACCAGGATCTGTGAGAAAAGCATAACTGGCTACAGAGAAGACCAGGGGTCACTAAGCCAAAGCTGCAAGCTGGTGGAGGATTTTTTTTTTTTTTAAGTGCTGGCCACTGTCAACATTTTCTAGCCTAAGTTTTAATAAGTAGTGTATTTTCCCCCCTTTAAATGCAATGAAATAACTCATGAGCCAACAGCTGAGTGCTTTTTTATTTTTGAAGCAGACTGTGTGTGAGAGGAAGGGTTTCCTAGGTGCTTGCTTTTGAGCATTTGGACCCTGGGTTATATGAGTGGCGCAAGTGAGTGCCATAAAAGCAGAAGTTCAAATATGATAAAACTTGCTGTGTTATTTGTGTGAAATACCTCATTTGTGGGATCTGCAAAGTCATGCATGCTGTGTGATGCTTTGTCTCTACATGTACCCTCTCTATGCCAAGACAAAATGATATACACAAAAGTTTCTTCTTGCAACTAAATGTGACAGCACTGAGTTTTCCTCCTGTAAATCACTCTGACTATGGTCAAGATGTTGTTCCGAACTGACATCTGTGCACAGAGCTACCCCTGCAGTCTCAACATGTTTGCTGTTGCATGTGATGTGGAAACCAAGTTTATACTAGTGAGATAATGCATGGGATCTGTTAACCATGCTACAGGAAGAAAAATTCCTTTTTCCAATGGATCCATGTCATGCAATTGTTTTTCCTTGTGTCCAAGCCACAAAGAATGGCTGAGATTTTTGCTAGTTGAAAGATGTGTAAGTTGCCCAGGTGTTACTCTGAAAGACAAAAACCTTTTCTGCCTCTTAAATTCAGAGATCAGAAACATTCTGAGCAGCTCTTCGTGTCTCTCCTAAATCTTTTATTATGACACAACTGATGCGTTCTGGAGGGGCACGTGCTGGTGGGAGATGCTGTGTTGGTTGGCTGGTGCCGGACCTGGCTTTTCTGTGGCAAGGAAGCAGAGGAAGTTGTGATGAGTTCTCTGAGCCTCTATGTTCTGGACTTCCCACCAGCTCTCTACTATGTTGCTCAACCTCTCCTGGGAGCTGGAGGTGATCTTTATCTCCTTTTGAGAATTAGGGAGTTGTGCCAGATTTGTCTCTTCTTTAGCTCTCAGCCTTGCCTCAATGAGTGCTTCTTTCTCTGTTCCAAACCCTCCAGCCCACCTTTTGTTGGATAGTTAGTGTCCCAATCAGAGAGAAGCTGGGACTGTAGGAACTGATAAATTACTTCACTCCATGTAAAAACTGGGTGAATGTTTATTTAGGCCTGAATTTTTGAAAGACTAACTGAACTGAACTAACTGAACTCTTCTGAGATTATATACTGAAAGCAGCTATGGTACCAAGCCTTGTTTTAAAATAATATAGCTTTGTGTCCCTTTGTTTGGGTCTCCCTCAGTGCCCAGTCCTACCTCAGCTTGTTTTTGGCATCGCTGAAGCTCTCAGACACAAAATACACAGGCTGGTAGTTCTGGTCCTGGTAGGGCTGAACAGCAGCAGCGTCAGGATCAAAGTCCCGTACCTCTGGTTCATCTGACAAGGAGTGCTATGGACACAGTGGGAAAAGTTTCAGCGTAAAATCAAAGAACCCAGAGAAAACACGCTGGAAATGGATAATAGATCAGCAAAGGACATTGCAGCTGCTCAAAGGAAGAAGAGTTTTGTAGTAAAGAGTGTAGAGCACAGTGGTAATTTGTGCTGGGACTTACGATGAGCTCCCCATAGGAAGACAGGAGACCTGCCCCATAGGCTTTGACTATTCCATTCTGTCTGCAGAGTCCAAACTCCACTGTAAACCAGTAAAGCTGTAAAAAGAAAAGAAAAACAAATGGTGGACACAACTCTTCTTCATTTCCTTGTCCATGCACTATGCTGAGGGTTTGGAGATATTTGAATGAATGTGTGCCTGGCATGGACACCAAATTGCATGAAGGATAATCCTCTGCCTCCTTCCCCTGCAGCCAGCCCTGCCAGAGCAGAGTGTTAAACTAAACCTCTGCCGTGCTGGGACAAACTGTGCCCCTGTCCACATGCAATGACAGGTGCCCTTGGAGCAGGCCAGTCACCTTGCTGAGGTAGAGCCAGAGGAAGTGAATGTAATTTAATCCTGTACCAAAGAATCTCAGCAATGCTGTTAGAAATATGATGCTCGTGGATACTCTGGTGCCTCTGAAAATTGGGTTAACGTGCAAGTGAGCTCTGCTGTTCATCTAATCTCTGTTCTGCGTGATCATCTGGGGGCAGCTTGTTTGGGGACACTAAACCTGCAAATGCAGGGGTACCAGGCTGCAATTCTAACACCACAACCATTCTAGTAGAGGAAGTGGGGTTCCTCTGGGGCTGATGGAAAAACTTACTGTAGCCAGTTTCTCAATTTCTTCATCAGTTGCTCCCAGAGATGCAAGCCCAATGTCCTGGGAATATAAGAGTGATGTCAGGATAGATTTGCAGCAAGATCTACTTAAGCATGTAGGAGCTTGTCAGTTATTCAGTTCTCACACAGCACAAGCATCCACTTACTACTTCTGAAAACTCATAGTGCATCTTTCTTGTGGATAATGAGAGTAAAGGAAATATCAAGATGTCGCTTTGGGAATTTCTGTCTATCTCATAACCTCCTCTGTAGCTGGTGTCTGGGAATTCACATTAGCCAGTGTTTCTATTGGAACAACTTGTTTGAAATGTTTATTTTGCACATCCCTTCTTGATCTCTTCCTCCCCGTCCCCTGCCTGGTGGCTCCTGCTGTGGTAATTCTCCAGCTGCCCCATTGCACCTTCAGGCTGGTACTCCCATATTCTCCCCATTATTGGGGGTCTCCCTTTCCTTCATCACCACCAAACTATTCATGATCACCTTTTCCTTAAACCCACCTCTTTCTTGATGACTTCTTAAAGACAATTAGCAAGGCCCTTACACACAGATTTCTCTGTTGTTATTGCCTGGAAACAACAGATATAGTCTACCTGAGCTGCCAAGCCTTTTTTGTTGCTTAGTTGCACTCAGATTAAATGGCTGTTAAGTATTCTTCAGTATATAGTCTAGAAGAAGGGTGTAAGATTGGTAAGAAAAGGCAAGGCTGAAAGCAAACAGGCATCGGCCAAAGTTGGAGCTGAGGCAGTCATGTCACATGTTGAAGGAAAAAGTACCAAACCCAGATGTGCATATATATTGCAAATCTGTCCCTAGCAGACATCTTCACAAATAATGCTGAATGTGCTATTGCTATAGCAATTGATTTGGAGCATGCTGTTATGTCCTGTAGAAACCCCTTAGAGCAAAGCAGTGCTTGACTGCTGGTGTGGTGTAATGAAAACCCAAGAGAAAAGGGTGGAGAGGAGAAAATCTCCTCCAGGCAGCATCCTTGCCAGGAGTGTGAGTGACAATCAGGCCTGTTTGGGATCTCACCTACTCCCTTACACTCTTGGGGAGAAGCAGCAGAAAACTACCTTACCTGGGAGAACTGGGCAAATGTCTTGTCAGCCAGCATTGGGACGTGCCCCAGTAGCTCATGACAGCAGTCCCTGCCGTTGTCCAGGGGAAGGAGGAAAATGCAATCAGCAGCAGATAGCTTGCCCATTAGGGAAAAAGCCAAATGCTCCTTGCTGGCTGCCAGGGCCAGCAGTACTCACGGCTCAGGGGAATGCATGGGTGAAGATGCGTGGCGGATATACTGTGTGCACTGGAACACACGGAAGGCCAGGCTGGCAAGGAAGTCACGTGCAGACAACAGGCCAGCCACAGGCCGGAGCTGAAAGCCAGTCCTCTCTGAAACAGAGCATAAGGCTTTGTGTGAGGGGGCAGATCACAGATTGTGCTGCTGTCCTATGGTTCCAGTACCTAAAGAAAAATATTCAGTGCTGGAAGACAAACAGCTCCTTTGCTGCCTAAACCAATGTTCCTGCTTCTACTAGGGAGTTCATTAGTTGTTCAGTGGGTTGATGATGGTCTTGACTTTCCAATGAACTAACCCTGTCTAGTTGTGGCTTCAACCACCTCTCCTCCATGCTTAGATTTTCCCATTGCAGCTGCCACTGCTGTGCTGGAGCCCTGGCTGCCACAGATCGAGGTCCCCTGGGCTTTTCTCTGCTCCATCAGGAGCTTGTACTCACCTTTCAGGAAGCGGGAGACCTCCTCCAGTTGAGGGATGTTGTTCTCATTGTAGCCACAGAATTTCTCCAGTAGATTAAAAGCTTCTAAGTACTCCTTGCAGGCATGGGTTGGATACAGGCTCTTCAGAGTGCTGTATACCTCCTTCCTTCAGGGCAAGAAATGACACAGTCAATGACCTGCCCACTTGTTCCTCTGGATGCACGCTACCAGGTTCTCATGCTTCTAGATTTCTTGTTCTGTGCTTTCTGCAGGACTAAGTCTGCCTCTTTGCATGCTTATCAGAGTACACAAATGTACATATTTGGAGGAGCATGAAGCATCAGTCAAATCTACGCTGACCTTCAAGGTCAGAAGACAGTATTAAAAGCATTAACTGGAATTAAAATATTCCCTGTACATCATTCCTGGAGCTGCACTATAGATGGTCAATATAAACAAAATGTGACCTTGTTTAAGAGTCAGAGTTCTCAATAGTAGCCCGTGACTGACATGACTTCCTCTCTGGGGAAGCTCTCTTGAAGGAAGCTCTTAGGGGTCTTTTTGCAAATCACTACAACAATCCAGGTTTTAATTCCCAGTTTCTAGTGCTGGAGCCATGAGTTATGAATTGTATCAGCACTCACCAGGTAGCAGTCTCCTCTGCTGTGTACTCCACATGGGGAATTGGATCTCCCCTGCAAGGCAAATGCACTGTTACTGACAGTAGAAGAGCACAAGCCAAGCTCCTCTCCCTATTGAGAAGGAAGCCCTTTAGAGAAGCTCTGTATGATGGTGATCAAGATTCTTCTTTAAAATAAACAAGGTGGCAGGAAAAACAAACTTTTGATACTAGGTCATTTGCACAGGTGCAGTAATGGAGACAGAAAAGCATTAATCTCACTGGAAGTTATAAATAAGCAAAGGATGAGCAGAAGCTTAGCAGGCTTAGTATTTCCAGTCAATACAGTTTTCACTGAAAAAATGGGAAGCCTTTTGTGAGAATAAATTAATTTCATTTGCCTAAGCTGCGGGGAGCTGATGATTATTAGAATGAATCAATGGCTGGGAAATAAAAGTAGGTAATAAAGACAACTAAACACATTTGAGCTGCGGGGGGGGGAAGACAGTGTTGTCCATGAGACTAAGGACTGCAAGAAAAGACATTGTTTATTATAAGTGGGAACTGAAGAAGGCTGGTGCTCTTGCCTTTTCAGCATCGTAATTATATTTTTCTAAATCTTCATGCTCTGTATTTTTGAATGAATGAGATATTCATATATTACAGTGATAAAGCATAGTTCCTGTTCCATTAAGAGCCTGAAGGGATGTTACACAGCAGCCTATGAATGCTAACCTGATAGGCAAGAAAAAGCATCCTAAATGGGTGCATCTTCTTAGTAGAGTATTTATACTCAGTCCCTTAGGACTCTCTTGCTGGCTCACTTATTTCCTATGTATTTAATATCAGTGGGGAAAAAAAAAAAAAAAGAAAAAAAAAACACCACAAACAAACACCTATCATTGTATATATTCCAAGCTTTGAATGTGCATCAAACATGTAATTTAACAGAGCAGTCAGTAAGCCATGGTTGGATCACATCAAGTGTGCAGATAGCTCAAGAAGGTGATCCAGATAATATCCATAGCTTGCTTTCAGCATGGTTCACTAAAGGAATCTACATTTAAGTGCTGCTAAAAGAGGCACTGTGGTGGAAGGCAGTGTTACTGAATAGGATCTAGGGAGTGTTTTTACTAACCCAACTGAACACTGGAGCTCTGATTGATGTTGTGAAGAGATTTAGTGCTATCGCTGCTTACATCAGAATGAGAGTATTAAATAGCAGTACAAGAGATAGTCTTAATTCTATATAAGACAATTATGAGACCATTATAGGAATCTATTTAATTTATCAGAAAGAGTTAGGAGTCTATAAATACCATAATGGGGTAGGAAAAGTGATAGAGCTCTATGAAAGATGTGTATGATGCACTGGGTAGAAGTTAAATCTACTGATGTTCTATTTTGAAATTAAACATTCTTTTCAGTCAGTATAATGGACCATTGGAATAAGTTTTCCAGACATGTGATGATTTTTTTCAGTATATGAAACTTTGAAGTTGAGACTAGATATCATTCTAAAAGAGTTGCAACAGTTCATAGTTAAGTTGGAGATCTGGTGGAATTATACACAGCTTTTGTTATGCAGCAAGTTTATTCTGACTGTATCAGTATATGAATAAATGACCACAGACATTTTTAAATTAGGGATGGAACTGGAATACATGGAGAGAAGAAGCACACAAAAGGAAGTGGAAAGGCTAAATGGGAGAAAACACAAAAAAGGTGTAATGCATGTAGCGTTAATTACTTCTCAATAGGCTGTTTTGACATGGTATTATTCCTGCATGAATGTGAGGGATGATACTTACTGCTTATAGTGAAAAGCGATTTCTGCTATTGATTTCCTCCTCTGGCGATACACCTGGTCAGAGTAGCCCTAGGATGAAAAATAGGAACATAAACACAATGCTTTTAATGTTACTAAATTTCTAACCTGATAAAATTCGTTGCTGTCTGGAGCAACTGGTGGTTCTGGTACAATTCCCTGACCAGCTGCATGAGTAGCTGCTCTCTAGCTCCTTATTTCTGAGATCTGGCTCAGAACTCAAATGCAGATATGTACCCATACACTCACCGGATGATCCAAGTCCAAGTCAGGGTCAAACTTGGTGACCAAATGGTGGCACTTGTCCAATTCACATATTTTTCTGGGAAACCAGTGAACTGTGGGGAGAGAGAAAAACAGAAGCTGTCTGTGGAAGCAAAGGATGAATGTGAGACTTTGTGGAGAAATGTGCAAGGAGATGATCCTGAGGCATTCTTCCCTTGGTCACATTCGTCATATCATTTCTTTTCTGAGAATATTGAAATCTTTGCCCTGTTTCTGTTTCAACCATACCACCAAAAAATAATAATAATAATAATAAATAAAAATAAAAATAATCGAATAATTTTTATATTTTTCTTACATTTGTCTTCCTTAGTGGTCCTCACATCTTCTGTTACCCTCTTGATGGAGCTAATGAAAGTATTAAGGTCAGAGCTGTGCACTTCACAGCGCACAAAATACTCCAGTTCAGCAGTGCCTTCACGGGGCTTTCGGCTGAGTCTTGTCTCCAAGTGGTGGATTTTAGCTTCAAATGTCTTGTAGAACATGGGAAAGAAGAACAAAAGCATTAAACACTGAAAGACTGTAACACTTGAGAAAAAACTGATGTTTTCCAAAGATGTGCACATACGGACATTTGTGGGGAGGCCCCTGCTGCTGCACTGAAAATTATTTTGACTGAGGTAAACTTGCTTATCCGTTACCGAGGTTTTGCTTCTGAGAGGGGAAGTCGCTAGGGTAGAAAGCAACTTCCTATGGTCCCCTTTTCCCTTTAATTAGTGGATTTTTGGTGGTGACGAAGGGGGGCAAGGAGCAACCAGGGAGCCGGCGGGCGGTGCTGGCCGTGGTGCTGAACGTGCGGGACCGCCGTCTCCGGGAGTGTAGGTTCCCCTTGCCTGCCATCACAAGTGTTTGATACCCGTAGAAAAGCAGAGGTTTGACTCACCCACTACACGCCCAATCGCAGACGAATACACACGCACACTTGAGCATAAAATCTGAAGCGATCGTTCAGTTGCAGATTTACAGCTGAAAGAAATCTGTAGATGTTTTAATTTGTGTTTAAGCCAGCCATTGGAAAAATGTGAATAGGTGGGTTGTCTAGTTTTTTGTCTGAGAAACAGGATCTCACCCCCATTTCATACGTTTGATAGCTTTCCTGAAGGACTCGTGACAGTGATTTAACAGCCACCTTATTGCTACTTAATGTCATTTGAAGAGTCTAGCCTCACCCTTGTCAACAGTGACTGACATAAATACTCCTGTAAGACTTGCACCCCATCATTTTCCTCAATTTTTTTTTTTTTTTGTATGTTTGTTTTGCTTGTTTTGTGAGGGTTCTTTAGGAGTCGAGGAAGAGGTTTAAGAAGAACGTTTGTTCTGTCTACATCCAGCAGGTTGCTAAATTCTGCTCTGACTCTAGTAGTTACTTGGGGCTCATCATTAGAACTGAATTCACACAAAAATAAGAAGTGGACAGAACAGAGTCCCAGGTCCTCCAAAAGGTCCTGGTAGAATTTTGGATGCTTTCTTTATCTCTGTGAAAATTTGGAGTACGAGCACGATTCCATGGACAATGACACAACCTTTCCAATGTCTCTGAGATATCTTTGGTAGAAGAAAGAGCATTATTTCTTTTGTTAATCAGAGGCAGATGAGAAGGAACAGATGCAATGCCACAGGTAAATTAAATTTAGGACTGTGTTTTTGAATGTACCTACCAACTTCAATATTACATTGTCCCCTCAACAATCAATACCTTTGCATTAATCTGACAGCTGTGATTGCATTACCTATGCTTTGACTGCATGTAACACATACAGCAGAGTGAAACCAGCTTCCCTGCAGCCTGGTTTATGATGAGGCAAATGTCATTATGCCCGTCTGCTTTCATATCTTGTACCTGCATTGCCAGAGGGATCTGGGAAATGAATCTTTCTCTGTTGTGGCTTGACATGTTTGTCTTTTTATTATCTTGAAAGCTCTCTCTGTGACAAGATCGAAGAGCTTTTTTTTTTTCTTCTTTTTTTTCTTCTCCAAAGCAGATCTTGATGCTGCAAGTAATTTTCTCCAGAAAGAAACAAATAATATTTGGATGTAAGCTGCCCCTGTCTCTTCCTTGATGTTTAAAAGCTATTTAAATTATAGACTTAAAATGTGGTGTAAGATGCAGTCTGCCAAGTACAAGAGTCTACACCTCCATGCTTCATACCTGCTAAGCAGTGTGTTGCATTTGAAATGTTACACTGATGGGTTTGTTATTTTTTTATTTATTTTACTTTCCTGGCAGCATTGTGCTTCTCTTAGGAAGGAGATACGATCATGGTGACATGAAATGTACTATGTCTATAATCTTCTATTATTAGAAAAGTATTACATTTCTGCTTGACACGTGTGTTTGAGGGATTCTTTTGAAATAAGAACAAAAATGTTGCCCAGAAACAGTTTTTTTCTTACAATCATCCTTTTAGAGAAAATGTGAGATGTTTTTTAAGCATTAAAAATCTGAAACACTTTTCAGAAGATTATCAGACATGGTGCTGCATGGGCTGTAGCTATAATGCCTTCTAATTTCAGGAAAATACTTATCCCCCCAAAAACAGGTTTTGTTTTTTGGTTTGTTTGTTTGCTTGGTTTTTTTTTTGTTTTTGTTTTTTTTTTTTTTTAACGTTTATGGCTGTTAGGCAGCAATTTTGTGATGTAGTGTTGCTGATAATCTGGTTTACCCCACGAGGGGTCTAATTTTCTAGGGAAAAGAGTTTTGTGTTGGAATAGAGAATATTAATATATGAGCAAGCAACATGCTCTTATGACAGCGAACTCACATACTAACTAGTAATTACAAGCCCGTAGACAACAGGTCAAGGGAAGTGATTCCTCCCCTGTATCACTGATGAAGAAGACCACATGTGGTGTGCTGTGTCCCATAGAAGAAAGATACTGTTATACTGTAGTAGGTATAGTGGATGGCTGGCAAGGTGAACAGGTGGCTGGAGCATGTTATATGAGGAAAGAAAGAGGGAATTGGATTTGCTCAGCCTTAAGAGGTGAAGTTGCAGGGGAAATCAGATTGCTTTAACCTGGTACCTGGTGGGAGGGTGTAAAGACAGAGCCAAGCTCATCTTAAAGTGCATAGCAGTAAGACAAGAGGCAATGGACACAAACTGTAAGCAAGGACATTAAAAAAAAAAAGAAAAAAAAAAAAAAAAAAACTTTTTACCATGCAGGCAGTAAAACACTACACAAATAGTCCAAGGAGATTGTAGAATCTCTGCTTTACAAACATGGCCATGAATAACACACTGCAACTAGACCTGCTATGAGCAGAAGGTTGAACTAGGAACCTCTGTAGGTCCCTTTTAATCCATGTGGCTGATGAATAGGAACAAATTGTCCTCTTGCTGCTGAAGTTAATGAGATTAAACTACTATAGATATAACATTGCACAGATCCCCAGTTTGCAAAACACTTTCAAATCCTTCTGGATGAGAATGAGCTATATAAATGCAAGTTGTCATGTTTTGATTATTGTTTAAATAGCCAGTACTTATCTCAATCTTTCCATTCATGGTACAGAGATCCTAGATAATAGAAGATTATATTGCTGGCTAGAGGACAAAAGTGCAATCAGATACGAGTTTTCATCAATTTTAAAGCTATTTATAGGATGCACCTCTGTGAAGGAACCAATACAACCTTTAACACTCAATTCTTAGATTACCAAAGCCTTGACCCAGCTGATCAGTAGTGAGGAAAGGGAATTTGTTCTGTAGCCGTGTAGAGCACATGGTGTGTTGTGAATGTTTGATCAGAGCCCAGTGCACATAGTGCTGAGCAGTAGAGGGTGCTGTCAGAGTATGCTACAAATAATATGGGTGTGTATTGTGGGTGTGAAATTGTGTGGCTGACTTCAGTAATTAAGCAAAGTCGAGCCCAGAGTGTTGTAAAAGCACATTCCTAGTGTGGGCATGTTAGGGCATGAGCAAAGCACGACTTTGGGAGATCATGCAGACAGTTAACTCTTAACTTGCAGTAGTCAGAACTAGTTTGAATCTTCCTTGATAGATTCAGGGGATATTTCTCATCAAACCACCATGAGAAGCATAGTGTTCCTTGAGTCCAGAAGCAGGTTAGAGACTCACCTCAAACACCTTAAGTGCTCGCGAGAGCGGAGAAGTCTTGGCACCCTTGAGCATGAAGAACAGGTTCAGCATGGCTCTCCCATCCTTCTCTTCAAAAACAATTGTCTCTGTGGACTCTGCTGCATCAGTGGCTGCAGCTGCAGCCTCTCGTTCCTTCCTGGCATCTTCAATGAGGCTTTGGCGTCTACCAATGAACCGCGGAGACTGAATGCAGAATAGAAATAAGTAACAATTCTTATGGAGCGGTAGTGGGGAGCAGAAGCAACTCTGGTACTGCATGAGGTGTGACTGGAGTGCCTCATCAGAGGAAGATTGGAAAGGCTGGGCTGACTTGCTCAGCTTTGCAAAGGAAAGTATTGAGAACTAAGGCTTTAGAACTGAACTTTCAGAAATGTGGCCTTTTGGGAAAAAGCTAAATATGCTTATAGTACAACTGAAGTGGGCTTTTCTCCCACGCCTTCCCCAGCAATATATATGTATATGTTCTTCAAAAACTGATATTCAGACACAGTCTTGCACCGTTTTAAGGAGTCTTGTAAACTGCAGGGGAGACGTGCTAGGTAAACACAGAATCATTTAAGAAAAAGGCATGCTATGAGGTACAACTGAAGCCTGCAGCTGTGCCCTGGCCAGGAAATATGAACTGTTTACAGGTGTATTAGTATAGTAGCCAATCTGCTCCCAGGCCCAGTGCAACCACCAGCCTAAGCACACCACATGCTCTCACGTTCTCTTCATAGCCCTGTGCCCGTATGTCCCCAGCCACGCTGAAAGAGTAAAAACATATCCCACAGGCATTTTCTTCTGATTTAAGTGGATGCTTGCCCACTGATTTATAATTGGAGCTGCATCCATGCATACCTGAAAAGTCCTCCCATTTCTCTGGTGGTTTGTTTTGTCCCAGCTAAGCCCTACAGTTACTTGGAATTACAGCTAAACTGCTGCACCTCTGTGCCTGGAGCCATGTTGAGTGGCTCTTTTATATTTACAGTGAGCTATGAACCATTTCCTTCACCGCCGCTGCTTTTGTTATACTAACAGCTCATATGCCAACTTATTTGTTTCTGGTCTTTCTGCAATAATCCTTCCACTTTGAGGCAGTTCAGTTGGTTCCAATTTTCTGTGTTAGACACTCAAAGCAGATGACAGAGTCTTAGAACTTGCTAAAAGAAACCAGAGGCAGCACTGAAAGGGGATAGCTTATAAGGCAGTTCAGCATCCACTCACAGAGATGGACTGGCTGTATTTTTTTATCCTCTAATTCTAATGAAGGCATTTGGTAAATAGATGCCAAAAAAACAATGCCTTCCCTACCCTTTGAAACTTTGGAGAATATTTCCCTTTGAAAAACAGCCTGCTCAACTACTAAGCCTATTTTCTCTATTATTTTTGAAGCCCTCTGTGATGTTTCCTCTGAGAACCCTCTTGGATGCTTTAGCAGCACAGAGCTTCATGGCTTCCTCTGACATTTGAAATGCACCCTGGAAAACACTGTATCTCTAGATATCAGCCCACGTGCTTCTTCTTTGTCCTCTTTTTTAATAAAGAAACCCCTCTGAAGTGATATTTGCTGATCCTCAGCTCCTTTATTCCTAGAGGCACCAAAAAATACCATCTAACAAATAAGCGCGCATTGCCATTTGTCTAATTTGGTGGTATTTGCACCCAAAGAGAAAAGACCTCTAAAAAATACCCTTCTGGTCTTAACTTTTAAGAACTTGTAAGCATATGCTTGGCTTTAAGCGTGTATTTTATATTGCTACTGTGTTTAAAGCTAAGCTAGTGTTTGCTTTCAGGTGCCTGCAATAAGTAGGGCAAACAGGGTCTGTGCTTTTCAGCAGTATGAAGCATTTCAGCTAAAGTGGTTTTATTGTATTATGCCCAGAGGTGCAAAAGTGCAATAGGGATTTTCTTCTGGAATGGAGAGAACAGAAGGAGGGGAGCCAGACTCCCATAAATCAAGTGAAATTTCCGCTGGGAGGAGTTACGATGGTATAACCATGCTGCCAACAGGCAGAAGCAGGGGGTTTGGTCCATGTCTAGGGGCTTAGATCCACACTTGGAGTGGCAAAGTTCATAGAAAAAGGGCAAGGCAGTTTTTTGTTTAGGAGAACATCAGGAGTGGTCTGCCTGCTTGCTGCATCGATGCTTTTCCTCTCAGCATCATCTCTCCTATTTCTCATCATTTATGCTCTTCAGGATGTTGCCTCTTTTTTTTCTGGAAATTAGGAACTATTTTCTATCTAAACTAGCCAAAATGATTTCTTATGATAAATGACTTCTATTCTTTGGAAGATGCTCTTACACGGGATTTCTGACTTTCCCTGTGGACTAACTCCCTCATTGCCTATCCAGCTAAAATGAGAAATTTAATTTTGCAGAACACTTCTTTACCTCCCTGGGATCTGTGTCTGACTTGGTCATTCATCTGGTACAAAGGATTAGTTTTTCTTTCTTTGAAATTGCTGCAGTTCTGTGTGCCTAGCTGCTAAAAACGTGATGCTTTGAATTAAAGCATTTAGGCTTGCTTTTTGTAACAATCCCAGGCAGTCCTTCCAGCTGTTTGGCTTCCAGCTGCCATCTCCTGATTAAACGCTTTGTAACCAAATCCCTGTTACAGATACAAGATATCTTGCAAAGAAAAACTGTGAGCAGAAAATCTAAATATACAACCTGAAGGATTTTCCACTGTGTTTATCTCTGGCTGTTACAGCTGGTGTGTGAAACACCTTCTGGTGTGGGTGAGTCTTGGGATTGCAAAGCTCAGAAGGGACACCTCTGACCTGCTGGTGTGGTGGTGGAAGGGACTGGGTGGCCAATGGCCTTAGTATGAGGGCTGGGGTTGAGTGCTGCCATGCACAAATGCAGAGTCATGCCTCTCGCTTAGTGCAAGCCAGCGAAATAAGCCAAGGGATTGCGGAGATCTCCCACATGAGGTAGGAGAGCTATTTTTTATTTATTTTTCACTTTTCTGTGGATTTCTATTCCAAGAAGGGATACAGAGATGGTCTGAAGTTTTATATCTGCTCTTCCAGGCTGCCACAGCCCTGCTAGCATGTCCAAAGGACTCAGATTCCTGTAGCCCTTGCACCCAAGGCCACACTTTCCATCAAACACAGCACAGCATCCCCGCATGCCCAATCACCAAACTCTCACCCCTTGGCCAGACATGCGAGCATCTCAAGTACTGATCTAACACAGCAGCCTGGAAAATCCCTGTTTTTGAAGAGCTACTTAAATGTTCATTATTTTGCCAGGGTGGGAATGCCTGTGCAGGAGGAAAGCCTTCCCTGACTTCCATTTACTACTGAAAGCGAGCTTACCTCTTTGTTTGTTGTTTCTCTTTCTTTCTGGCGTGCTGCATGCTCCAAAACACCTTTGGTGCCTCCACCACGTTTTCTCCTGCTAAGTATCCCAAGAGTTCCTTCCCCATGCTATCAGGGGTCATCCAGAGCCTGGCCACTTCCCTGACCTGCAGAGCTGTCTCATGCCCGTGGTCTCTAGCCTTTTCTTGACTGCCTTCCCATTTGGTTAGTGTTCCATTCCTACAGCCTACCCAAAGCATTTATTAGAATTTGTTCTCTAAATGCACTTGACAGCCCAGCGGGAAATTTTCTCTTCTTTCCCTTATATCTGCAGCTTTAGTGTGTGCAGAAGTATTCCTCAAGGTAAAAACCAGGCCCCTAAATAATTACGAAGGAGTGGGAGCAGAAATGTGAGAAGGATGTACTGAGAGAGCAACAGCAAACTGAATGAATTGCCTGCACCCTGCATGTGGTCTGAAATGAAATTCACACTTTTCCATTGTGCTATAACAGATGAAATCTCTGCAGCTTAAAGTCTAGCAATGAATATAGTATTAAGTTTTTCAAATTGCATTAGATGCTGCGGATGCCTTGTTACTCCTGCTCTAGTTCTATGGGTTATTGTAGTTGCTTTTGGCTGGGGAGGGGGGGATGAGGGTACATTTGTTTTAGCTTTTGTCCCCCTAGTTCTTTGCATTTCACACATCAGTGTGTACAGATGAGTGTGGGGGTCATTTACTTCTCCTGGTCTAGAGAATTGGCTGGGGATCACCCCTAGGGATAATGTTGATCCCTCTATGCCTGTCTGCCACTGCCTACTGCTGGAGGAGAGGCTGCATTTTTTAGGGGAGAGGGAAGAAGTGGAGTAGAGTTGTCTTACCATGATGGCCTCGGCTTGCTTGGAGTCCAGCTCCGACACCGCCCTGCGGAAGCCTTTGGCTGCAGAGGTGGAGATGTTGGGGGTTGGCATCGTCACTCTTCCACGAGCTCTGCTCTCCGCTTTTCAGCTCCTTGCCAGCTTTTTATAGGGTGAGGCTGACGTCAAAGATTCTTTCAAAGCTTCTCCCCTCCTGCCGCAACCCCCCCATCACCACCTCCCTCCTTTCCCCCCTCAGGCTGAGAGGAGGAGGGGACGTGAAGGAGAGAAGCGTTTCTGTCCCATTAAATCTAATCGCCACAAAGATTGCAGACACCCTGCCTTCGCAGACCTGCTGCTCCCCCCACTTGTTTGCCTGTGCCCAGAAGATTTCTTCCCTGTTTTTCACCCCTCTCTTTCTTTCTTGTTATAATTCTCTCACTCTTTTTCAATCTGGTAGATTCACTTTCCCGGCTTGGGCATTGCATGAAAGGATTTTGATCTGTTAAAGGACAAAATAAACAGAAGGGAAAGAGTCAGCCTTTTATTTCCTCCTTGTTTGCTATGTCACTGAGGCAGTAAAGGAGGAGGAAAGTAGCACCAACTCCCCCAGATCAGCTACAGGACTGGTTGCTGTTCTTGTACATGCACCTCCAGAGTTGGGTTGGCCATGGCATGCTGACAGCAGGCCAGCAGGATTAGGACCCTTGTATCCTCAGAGGAGAAAACATGGGGGAAAACCTGCCTCTGCATCCTGCTATCCAAGAATTTTGCTATTCTCACTGCAATGCCTCAGAGGCCAAATGCCCAAGGACATTTGGTCCGTGGCAGCATGTGGCACAGCAGGACCCACCCAGAGATGTCCTGCTGCATTCAAGATTGGCCTTCTCCTGACGTGGGATTCAAGAGGTGATGGCCTCAAGTTGCACTGGGGGAAAGGGGAGTGGGGGGGGGGGGGGCATTCAGGTTGGATATTAGGAAAAATCTCAGAAGGAGTAGTGATGCACTGGCACAGGCTGCCCAGAGTGGTGGTGGAGTCACCATCTCTGGTGGTGTTGAAAACCATGGCGTGGTGGCACTGAGGGACATGGTTTAAAGCGGCTACAGACATGGGCTGATGATTGGACTCAGTGACCCTAGCAATCTTTTCAACCATACTGATTCTATGATTCTTTACCTGGCAGCAACTCTCTAGCACCAAGCTAACGTGTTCCAAGACTGAGAGAGCTTCTCTGGATTTTGTATAGGAAAGAAAGGTAGGCTTGGGAAGGAGGAGAGTTATGACAATCGTATTTGAATATCAAATAAACTTTTCATTCTGAATGTACTCTAATGAATTATACTACCCTTTAAAATAGCAAGTAGAATACCGGACTTCAGCACTTTTGGTCTGAGGCTTTCAGTTCAATCTCAGGACGATGAAAAGTTTTCTTCATTCTGTTTTCTTAAAATCAAAAAGCACAACCATTTTGATAGATCTTTTATTTGTGGTTTCGTGTTTAGTCTAAAGGTCTTTTTAGAACGCCATTTGCCAGAGATGATGAACCTAAAATCAGCTATCAAAGCAAATTCCACTTATTCAAATTTGTAATCAAGTTACTGAAAGGGTAGCCTTAAAATGTCAGTTCATGTGAAGAATAGAGAAAATGGATAAAGTACTTTAATAAAATGAGAACAGAACAAGTCAGCCAGCCTTCCTTCAGGCTGTAACATATTCAGAGATCACATGTGAGGGCTCTTCTGACAAACAGAGGCTTTAAAAGGAGCCGATAACATCAGGCAAGTTTTTTGAGATTATTGTACAAATATGTGGGATTACTTCAACTACGTATTTTGATTTCCTTTTTTTCATTACATATTGTTTCTCTCCTTGCAAAATCCAGCACTCTACTTAAGCTCATCAGCTCTTCTTAGTTCGTCAAAAAGCCCTTGATTTTTAATTCCTCTCTTCTATGGGGATGATAAATTAGGCATACAACTCCTGCTTTCTTTAAGCCCTGTTAATCTGTCACCCCATGTCTGTCTGGTGATGAGAGTCCCACATTGTATGGAAATGCTGTCAAGCACAGAGCCTCTGCAGACCTGAAGTGTGTATTCCGGCTTCCTATGCAACCAAGGGCAAAACATCTGCATCTCTGTAAACCTCCTGCTTAGGTTTATGTGCAAGTTCTGCTGATATCAGGCACGACTTACTACAAGAAGACATTGAGGACCTCAGGTGTTTCTAAAGAAGGGCAACAAAACTGTGAAGAATTTGGAGTTCAAGTCTTATGGGGAGTGGGCGAGGGAGCTGTGATTGTTCAGTCTGGAGAAGATGAAGCCAGGTAGAGACCTTGTCACTCTCAGCAGTGACCTGCAAGATGTGGTGAAGTGTGGACTGGTCTTTTCTCCTGCATAACTAGCAATAGGATTAGAGGGAATGGCCTCAAGTTGCGCCAGAAGAAGGTTCAGATTGGGTATTAGGAATTTTTTTTTTCCTCGGAAAGAGTGGTGAGGCACTGAAAACAAGCTGCCCAGAGTGGTGATGGAGTCGATGTCTCTGGAAGTGTTCAAGAAATGTGGAGATGTGGCACTGAGAGACATCATCAGTGGGCATGGTGGTGGTGGGTTGCGTTTGGACTAAATGGTAACAGTGGTCTTTTCCAACTTTTATGATTCTATGACTTTTAGGAGTGTGAGCCTACTTAGTTAAATTATGGCTTTGCTCCCACACCAAGGCTTTTGTATGTTGATTAAATACCGAATTTTCTAATGAAAGAGGAGCATTTAGGAAGCTTTATGAAGTAAATACAATGGATTCATTAGTGCTTTGTTTCTCAGGCTCCAATCACATGACTGTCTGTGAATGTGTGCGAGTGCTATGTGTAACCAGCTGCGTGTTTTAGGGGATTTATCTGACATAAAGCAGGAACAGCAAACACTGTTGGACGTTGCACTTTGGGTGCATAGACCAAGAGGAAAACCTCCATCTGCCAGACTGCCATCCCTCATTGTGAGTGAGAGGTGGAGGGATCTCCGTGCAACAGACTGTGCCTTGATGTAAATTCCAGGGGGGATCAGTGACAGAGGTGATGCCAGCCCAGTGATGGTGGGGAGCTCTCTAATGGTTCAGGGAGCTGCCGGGACAGGCTTTGAGATGCAGAAGTGTCCCACCAAGGGCAGAAGAAAGGGACTGTGACCACATTGTGAGGGCAAGGTGCTATATCCCAACGCAATTGAGGAGAAAACCCTGGTGGTTGTGTGGAGTGACCAGGTCCTCTTGTTGCTCTTTCTCCCACCTATTCGCACCCTCTCCCTCTTTTCTTCCATAGCCTGAAAGTTACAGTCTGCTATATGAAGCAATTACAGCAGTGGTTAGCCAGCTCCATCAAGAGATGTCTATTTTTTTTTTTCATTTCCTTTCAACACTTCTGAATGCCTCAAAGTTTAATAACCCATAATGACACCCTAGACTTCGATGTCATTGCAGCCTCTAGGACTGGGGCATCAGCAGGAGGAGAAAAAAAAAAAAAAAAAAAAAAAAGGATAATTAAAATCCATGTCTACCTCTCAATTTTGCAGTATTCTATCATCTGGAAAGCACTAGCTTTTGTGCTCACACTCACTACAGATGAGCCTAAAGAAAGGGGAGCTGCAAGGAGTAGAACTCTGTAGCTCCTTCTTAAGTGTTCTGAGATGTATTCTGAGACTCTGGCATTAAAGCACAGTTGGACCAGATGAGGTTTAACATCTTCAGACCTGCTCTGGTAGATGGGCCAGGTGCGGGGGTCCTCTGTTCCCTGAGTTGTAGAGGTGGGCTCTGGGAGATGAAGAGCCCCATTGCAGAGATTGTTATTCCAACCACTGGATGAATCTCAGGGCAAAATGAAAGCACATACATACAGAAGTACACGCATGCACACTAGTGGCAGAAAATAATCTCCTATAGGAGATGTAGTAGGGCTGTGCAATCTCCAGCACCTTTTTGCCATGATCTGTATTGATATATTTTTTAAGTATGATGTCCAGGATTATTCTGCACTACAGATGCAAATCCAGTGACTGACGGGTCACAACCAACACTCTTCAGCAGCTAAATGCAAACCTCTGTGTCCACGACTTCACGTTTCAGAAGAGCAGCTCAGTTTTTAACTGAACCTGAAAATATTCCACAATACATCAAAAATGTCTGCTTATCTTTGGCTTTGGACATTGGGACTCACCGATCTCACAACTTCACATTTGGAGTCAGTTTGCGCTCATACCACTCATATTTTGCTTCCGACTCAAATCTCCTCTCTTGGGTCAATATGGTAATTGCAATCCTGAAATTTTTTTACAGAAATCAACTTTCCAGGTGAAAATAACCTGATTTCAGGCAAAACTTATTGAGGAATAAATTTGCAGAGGGAAGGAATTTTACTTGAATGGAGGAAAAACTCAGCACCTCCCTCTCCCCAGGAACTGGGTATTTAGCCCTGAGTTTTCAGAAACAAAAGCAGCAGTAATCCCTCCATTTCTGCATCAGGAAATGGATCTGGAACGTACGAGTGTTAATTCAGAAACATTGTATTGATGATTCACCCGCTACTGCAGAATCCAAAATAACCATCTTGTCTCAGATCAATGGGGAAGCACTTAGGAGCAATTTTCTCTTTGGAAATGCGGGCAGCAAACAGACAGCCAGGAACAGGGGGGTGGAGTAAAATGTACTGTCTCTTGGAGCGTGCTATCTTGTATGGTCATAAAAACATTGGTTGACACCTCTGCCCCACCGTATTTCTACTTGCAGAAAATTCTTTAGTAAAATGTTAAGGGTATTTCAACTTTGCGTGGAAAGTTGCCTCCATGTGTATTGTAGCAGGTCTCTCCCTATACAGCCAGCCTTCATAATTTTCATTTATATTTGTGATTCCCAATATTTTTCTCCTAGCTCTGGAGTCAGCTTTCCTTTGAAAATACATTAAGTTGCAGCCTTTTTGTGAGGAGAGGAAAGGATGGAGTCTAGGAACTCCCAGGCTGGGGGGAAAAAAAAGCCCTCCAGAATCCGTAATTAATGTATGGAAATCTGGCACAGAATTATTGAACATTGAGTTTGACAGTGAATTTGCTTTTCTTAGGGAAAAAGAAAAGAA